TTTTTCAGGCATCAGAGCTCTGAACAGTCCAGCATGGCCACCAGAGTCTAGAGCTGGGCCTGGAGACCCAGGACCCCTTTTCATCTTCACTGATACCCGGCCCTCTCCAGGCCTGCACCCAGTCACAAAAGTAGAATGGCCATCCAAATTCTGTAGAAATGCCTAAGTGATGTGAGTAGGGGATTTAGGGGATATGAATTTACTTATTACACATATATAGGCTTATTTAACCTTATTCCACTTGAGGAAAAACTGAACTATTTGCTTAACTTCTAAAATGCAAAAGGATTTTGTTAGGGCTTTTGAAGCTAACAATTATGCATAGCATCAATGCTATCAAAACCATTAAGGCCTCCAACATCACAGCCAAAACCTGAAATGATGCCTCAATGATGTTACTAATTTGGACATGGCTGGAATCTAAAAAAGGGAAGAGATCAGATTGCAAGGGCTCTAATTTCATCACTGATGAGATCATAATTTGATGATCTTATTGGGAGTTAATGGGAGCCTAGTTGAGAGGTAACAGATAGTTGGGGGGGGGCTAGTTGAAGGTAATAGATCAGGGGGACTGGACGGAGGGGACTGTATCTTGTCCCCAGCCTTTTCCTCTCTGGCTTTTTTTCCCGCCTGCTTTGAACTATGGTGAGGCAAGCAGCTTCCCTCTACCATGCCCTTCCACCATGATGTGTTTGCCTCAGTTCAGGACCAAAGTAGTAGGATCAACTCCCATGAACTGACTTCCTGAAATTATGAGCCAAAATGAATCTTCCTCGTTAAGCTGATTTCCTCAGATATTTGATCCCAGCAACAAAAAGCTAATACATGCATTTACTTGCCATCATCAGAACCAAGCAGGTATTAAGTAAAAGCTACTCAATAAGTCTACCTGTCCCTTAGAAATTCTACTCTTTTTAAAAAGTAGTGTTTTTGGGTGTGGTGGCACATGCCTATAATCCCAGCACTTGGGAAGCTGAGGCAGGAGGATTGTTGCAAGTTTGAGACCAACCTAGACTACCAAGTGAGCTCAAGGCCAGCCTGAACTGCACAACGAAACCCTATCTCAAAAAAAAAAAAAAAAAAAAAAAAGGTTTCCAAAATAGAAGAAGGAGAATAAAAAGAATAAAGATATGCAATGCCAGTGTACCTACTTCTTGTTACTAATATAATCATTATGTATTGCAAACATGTGCTGACTTTAAAAAAAAAAGCAGCAGTCCATGCAGAGGCGTTAAGGTGTGCTGCTGATGTTACAAACACATTCAATCGACAGACTTCTGCTTTCCCTAAGTGAACTCCTTTTTATCTAAACTCCTCCTATACATTTTTGCCTCCTGACAGGTAGATCTAGAGACCACATGGGTGCACACAGTGCTAAAGGCCTTCTTCACACAAGCCTCTTTGAAAGAACAAAAATGCTCCAGATACTAGCACACACACAGTAATGACAAGTGCTTGTCAGGTGTGGCTCAGTGATAGAACAGATGCACAAAATATCATTTAAACTTTGGTTCTATAATGTTAATACATAAATCCTGAGCCCCCATTTAAAGCCACATTTAGGAATAACTGAATGTAAGTTGGCGTCTTCTGCACAGCAGCAGGTGCACACGCCTGCCTGGCCAGGGACAGGTGCCAGGCGTTCCCTCTCTGTGCCACCCTGCCAGGGAGTGCTCTTCTCTGTGCTCAGTAGTGGCACACAAAGCTGCCCCACCCCACCAGTATGTATAAAGCAGGAAGGCCTCTTGTTTCTTCTCAAGAGGCTATGCTGCCAGATGCCAGGTAGAAAGCTTAAATTCTGGTTGTCTTAGTGGTGGGGGATGTGAGCAAGTCATCCATGATTTCTGCATCAGCTTCCCAAGCTGTAAGTGACATTCAGTTAAACTCTAAACCATGCAGCTCTATCAAATACTCTCAAGTGCATTCACAAACATACAGTAGTTCCCCCAGCTGCAGCAGAATTTGGTGTCATATTTTGAATGTATGTGGACCTATCAGAGTGCCTGATGCAGAAGAATAGGTGAGTGTCATAAAACATAACAAAAAGGTCCCCCAAAGGGAAATGATGCCAACATCTAAATTCCTTAGGGAGGAACCTGCGACATTTCACTGTAAGCTCCTTCAACATTGGTACAGACTGAAGAGCTGGGCTCCTGCATCCTAGGAAAGAGGAAAATTGGCTACAAGAATTTCCCATCCCAAATTTGGGAGACAAGGAACACAGCAATCCGTACCAGTCCCCTGCAAATCCACTGAGGGAAGGAGTCTGGTCGCTCCCTCTGGTTGGCAAAATACCTTGACATTTCACCTACCCTATGGCTTCCAGCTGCCCACAGCTCCAGGTAAGGGGTCTATGGAAACACATTCTGAGGTAGAACCAAAACAGAGAGAAGGGTAACTCGGAAACCCCCAGGGTTCGTGGTACACTCCACTCCTGGTTGTTTGCATTAATGCACAGACAGGCATGTCGTGGGTGTCACACCTAGCTGAGGAGCTCTGTGACCAGGAGATAAAGATGACAGCATCATCTGCCCAAGGTCAGTGCCAACGCTTCCAAGCAAAGGAAGAAAACAGCAGCCATGCTTTCCAGAGGCGCTGCCAGGCAGGTCTGAGACGGGCAGCTGGGCTGCGATCCACCAGCGGAGCCGGAGCACTGGCCCAGGCCAAAGAACGGCCTCGCATTCGGAGGTCCTGCTGTTTTCCTGGGCAGTCAGGCCCTGGTGTGGACCCCAGAATTCCTACACAGCAGTGCTGACTTCTAGTACCTCAGGATAGGACTGTATGTAGAGAAAGGACCTTTAAGGAGGTGACCAAGCTAAAACAAAGTCAGTAGGGTGGGGCCTGGTGACCTTATAAGAAGGGGGGCTTCTGGCCAGGTGTGGAGGCATACACCTGTAGTCCTAGCACTTGGGAGGTGGAGGCAGGGGAAATGCCATGAGTTTGAGGCCAGTCTGTGCCAGATAGTGAGACCCTGTTTCAAAAGAAAAAGGTCACTTGGACACACAAATACAGAGACAATCATCTGAGGACACCAGGAGAAGATGGCATCTGTAAGCCAAGGAGAGGGGAATGGAGGGGAGGGGAACCAGTCCTGTGACACCTTGATCCTGGACCCCTACCCCAGAGCTATCAGAAACAAATCCCTACTGTTCACGCTGCCCTGTCTGGGTACTTGGCTGTGACAGTCCCAGGACACTAAAATGCAAGGCCTACCGCAATTTTCACAAATTTTAAGGGACTGCTCTGTTTATGGTCACAGTTTTACTGATCATAGAGCTCTTCTCTGGTCCTCTAGAAGAGTGCAGTCAAGCCCACTGCGTGGCAATGACCCTTGCTGGCTATGGAACTCGGATCACAGAGTGCCTGCACGCTGAGTTAGCACTGAAACCTTCTTTTGCATTAAAGCTTACAATGATAATAATGCAGGCATAAACAGTTCTTAAATTTTCAAATGACTTCTACATGGTTTTTTCCATAGATTCTTGTGTTCAAGAAGTTACTCCCAATACTGGGATGCTCTTTCTTTTTATTTATTTTTTTCCATCCTAGGGATGGAGCCTGGGCTTTACACTGAGCTGTATCTGTAATCCTCTTGTAATCTTTAATTTGAGATAGTCTCACCAATTTGCTAAGCAGCACAGGCTGGGCTCAAACTTGTGATCCTTCTGCCTCAGCCTCTCAGAGTTCTGGGATCACAGGTATGTGCCACAACCCACACTTCTGAGACGTTCATTTTAATGATAACTGAGTCATCAGCTCCTGAAACCTCGGGGACTGAATGGAGAGGCAGGGATGGGAAGGTAGATGATCACCAAGGAGCAGCACTTTTTTCTCCCCTATTCAAACTGCCCAGCGGTTGCTTCAGGCTGCTTCAAGAACTGCCTATTCCCTGCTGCAAACGGTCAAGAACTTGCACCGGGGACATTCACAGCCAGCACTAAACTATCCACAGGCAGCCCCGACAGGGCACAGCTGTGCAACTGCTCTCGAGGCGGGACCCACTGCAGGCAGAGGAGTCTGCAGCCAGCCACTTTCCTGCTGTCCTGTTCTTCTGGGCGCTTGCTGTTGAAAACCAGAGGGTCCTATCCCACTCCCACCTCAGGATGCCTAGATGAGAAGAAATCAGGGAAAACTAAACAGAAAAGAGTCAGGCCCAGGCTGCTCTGGGGCGCGTAAGGGGTCCACAGGAGCAACCATCCCTCAGCCCAGGGTGCTCCCTAGCCCCTTGGCCCTGACGTCACAGTGGCCCTCGTTGGTCTGAATGGACACTTGTTTCCCTCCCACAAAAATTCTGGAGCAGAAAGCATCCTACTTGGATCATGCGTGGCCCATCTGTGGATAAAGCTGTTTTGTTAAAAATAAAAACACCAGGCTGGTTAAGTGGGCCCCATAGAACAGGAGCAGCCCTATGCCCCATTAAAAAGGAAAACCAACAACCCAAGACCAATGCTGAGCACATGCTTGAGCTCCCTGTCACCAGCCTGCCAGCGCGCAGAGCAGGTCTCCTGGGAGGAGGCGGCTGTGTTGTTCACCAAACACCAGTGAGGCGGCTGCTCTGGAGGATTGTTGAGCTGCGGTCCCATCTGCACCCACCATGGTGACAGCAATTAAGGCAGGAGAGGAAGTGGGTGAACAGAGGCAGGTACACACGGGAGGGTAACTGCGTGGCTCTGTTTCATCAGAAACGGGGCTGTGTGCCCATGGCAGCAAACCCTGCTGTGGCAGCACTGTAGCCCCAGATTACTACGTTGAAGCCAGGGCTACATAAGGACCTCAAATGACAAAAAGTCTTTATAGATGATTGGGTTACGGTGAGGCTGTTGTGGTAGGCTCCTCAGGGAAAGGGAAACCTGGAGACAGGCGGGCAGGCGGCTCCAGGGAGCAAAGCAGGAGGTGGAGATGCAGAGCTGCACCAAGAGACCACAATAAATCCCTCTCCCTCCCACTGGGAAGCCGCAGGAGCAACCAGACAGTCCCACTCACCCACTGTGGCCACTCACCTCATGTAGGATGCAGGGGTCAGCGACTTGGGCTTGGCCCACTGGTACGGGGGCTGTGGCACTGACAGGTACTGCTCACAGAAGGCCCCCTTCCGAAGGTGCTGGAAGGTGAACTCCTCAGATGGGAAGTCAGACGTAGGCGGGGTGGTGCCTAGGTCCTCTCCAGCGGGCTCCACCTTGAGGGCCACCGAGGGCGAGTGCTCCAGGGCTGTCTTGCGGGACTTGACAGGGATGCCATCACCCAGGTCCAGACTGCTGTCTGTGGTCAGGGCATTGATGGCTGCTACGATGGCTGAGCTGGTGTACTGGGTGGAGTTGCCCAGCCAGGTGTCCTCAGTCACACTGACCCGTGGGGAGCCATGTGGGGATGGTGTGGGTGAATGGTGTGGGGAGCAGGATGGCTGCCTGCCGTTGATGTTGTACTTCCGTTTGTTACAAGGGGATGTGGGCCGGGAGCCTCGGGCCCCTAGCCAACTCTCCTCGGTGACACTTGTGCGGGGTGAAGTGGATGGGGAGTGTCTCGGGGAGCCCAACAGGTGGCAGGCCCCCAGGCCTCGGGGAAAGCCTTCCTCGGCATCCGTGGTCTTGGGAGACACGCAGGGTGACTGCCATGGGGATGTCTGGGGGGAAGTGTATGGGTACGAGTAGTTGGACTCATAGGAAGAGGCCTCAGAGTTGCAGCTCCGGGAGGACAGACTGCTGGCCGGGCTCAGGCATGAGGGGTCTCTGTAGGCCTCCAGGCTGGGCAGGCTCAGTGTGGCCGTGGACGGCGACCGCTTGCAGCTGGGGAGCACATCCTCCACCTCTACCTCATGGAAAAATTGGCTGCCACCATGGTGCAGGCCCATGTACGAGGTGATCTCGATGCGAGGGCTCTCTAGGGCAGGGGCCCCATTGGGCCGTGTGTTGCTAGAAGACAGAAAGTAACCCGAGGTCCCGCTGTCCACAGCTCCTCCATACCCTAGGGGGTGATTTGCTGAAGGGACAGCTGAGATGCCCGGCGTGGATGTCTGCAGGTCATGGCAGGGAGCTGGCAGGGAGGTGTGTGTCACAGGAAGAGGCAGAGCGTTGCTCAGGTTGGACGATGCATAGCTGTAGTGTTCTGGAGGAAAAAGAGAAGGCGGCATGAGGGCTGGCATCCAGCTCGCCAGCGCTGCGGGCAGAGGCTCCACTCCGCATAATCAGCTGGGGCCAGCTGCTCTGCTCCCCAGAGCTGCACCACTGTCCCCTTCCTGTCTTCTGAATAGGTTCAAACGCTGCGTCCCCAACCACTGTATCCTGACTTCAGGTCTAACACTGGGGTCAGCTTCTCTAGTTTATTCTTTTCTCTTCAACACATACCACAATCTAATGTTGTGTATTTTTATTTGTTCATCTCTCACATCATCATCATCGTCTCCTTGACCAGTAAAAACTAAGTTCAATGATGACTGTGTCTTTGTGCCTGCTGTAGTCTTTTGGATTCATTGCTGTCTTCAGAGGCTAGGATTGTGCCTCACATAAACAGTGTTCACTGCATTTCATGAGTGGATGGGTGGATGACAGACAGATGGATGGACAGATGGGGGGTGACGGACAGATGAATGATGCACAGATGGGTAATGGATAAAGGGATGAGGGATGGAAGGATGGATGGATGGATGGTGGAGGGAGGGAGGAAAGGGGGAAGGAACAAGGAATGAGTGAACTATGAAGATGGGTGATGGATGGATGGATGATAGGTAGGTGAGTGGGAGGAGGGATGTTTTAGATACAAGGACCTAGACATTTAAATAGATTTAATAGGCTAGTTACTGTCAAGGTGGCTCCACCACCAGCTGCAAAGCAAATACCTCAAGGTCTGGATGACTGTGATGCATGGATAAAGAATCAGTATGTGTTAATTTTACCTCAATAAAATATTTTTTTAAAAAAACATTCTTGTTAATTTTAATAAGAAAGCTGTGCTCCTGGGTTTCTGATATGAACGGCTTCTTTCAGTACCCTGGAGCTTTTTATGCCTATGGTCTAGCATTCCCGAGTCTCTAAATAATGGAAACAGTTTGTGGAAATTCTAGATCCATCCCTGGCTTAGTGCACTGGCGGGAAGGGTTATTATCCACAGATGACACTGCTCTGCCACTGTGTCCTGGTTCAGAAGCTGATGAAGATGAACCCTAGAAAAGTGAGGGTCTCAAAACACCAAGTCAAACTCAAGTGTATTTTCCTGCTTCCCAAACAGATTCTGTTTTCATTGTTACCTGTTTCCAGAAGTAGTTATTCAACCACTAGCTGTTATAACCCTCATTTATCAAGAAGTTCTGTTATCAGGGTGAAATCTCTTTGACCGAAACACTGCTTACTATTTCCATAATGGCTTCTCTTCCTGAAGGTGGGTTTGAGCAGGGTGCGAGGACAGGAGACCGGTTGATCCTAGCTGCCTTCACAAACTGCAGAGCATAGCAAGGAGATGGGAGAGAGTACATGCAAACATCAGAGGGCCTGAGTAGTAGAAACCAAGCCCTGCCCATGTATTTGGCTGAGCTGAAAAACTGGTGGTGGGTCCTCCACTCACAAGCCCCTCTTCCCAATCATAGTATCGCCCACATCAAGATAGGAAGCCAGAATCTAATGTCGAAAATTAGGTTTAAATCGTTTAAAAAGTCATCCAGAAGGCCACTTCTTAGATAAGCCTCTAAGGAAGGAGACAGCCATCTATCAGCGAGTGAAGGCCCCATGGAGACCACCCAGAGCAATCTTTGCAGAATCCCCAAGCCTGAGCTGCTTACAGACACTGAACACCAGGCCCCAGGGCAAGTCAGCGGCACCCCAGCTCTCCTTGCAAGTCCAAATAGGCCCTGCAGGCCTGGTCTTCAGATAGTGGAGTCCATCAGACCCCTGTATGGCACATACAGATTCTGGGCAGCACATTCAGAGGGCAACTGCTGACGCACAGGCACGGTGCCCACTGCCACACATGCATGCAGGCTGGGTACTACTCCAAAGACGTCCTGATGGCTGACCCAGTGCTGCCCAGGCCATACCGCCACTTGAAAGCCAGCTGGTATGCACAGGATGGCCCTTCTCAGGCAAGAAGTCAGGTGCCAACCATTCATTAGGTAGAGCAGTCCTGACAAAGGGAGGGTGAAGTCCACATTTATAGAGTAGGACTTTCCATAATTAGATTTCAATGAATACTTTTATTCTAGTTGGTATATTCCAAAATTAATTTTAAGTTAAATAAATATTTGCTTCCCTTCCTATCAGCACAGTATTTGGTTTCACCACTGAACCCAGAATTTCTGCCTGTAGGTCTCCGCAATGATGCTACATCACTTGAAACACGTGTCTCTTTAGGAAGTTTCTCTATCACCTGATGTTGCTGTGCCCATACCTCCAGTGGGCCCTTTCTGATCTCCCAGGATTCTCAAGACACCCACAGACTTAACAACTCCTGCCCCTATCCCAGGCACTCCCCTACGAAGAGTGACAAGCTACTCTCTGTGGTCTCTGCAACAGGGTCCGCATGCAGCAGGGGCTGAGGGATAGACCTCTCAGGTAGGTGGGTGGATCAGCTGCCACAAGTGCGGGAGGCTCCATGTCTACCTATAGACATGCCGTCGCCACATCTGGAGTCACATCTGACCCCAGATGGAAGTGGCCATGCAGCTTCCCAGAAGGGAGCACTGCACACGGATTTCAAACTAGGATGATAGCATGGTGCATCTAGAGCCCTCTGCTCTGTTAGGAGCATGCAAACAATCTAACATTCAAGCTCCAGAAAACTAGAAAGCACCAGTGTGAGGCTGAAGGGAAATACTATACAACACAGCAGCCACAAGCATCCATCATAAAGTTTGCCCCAGTCAGCCCCCACCCCTCCCTGCACTGCCTCCAGCCGCTGGACCTTAGCAAAGACCCAACTCAGGTGGATTCACAAGTTACTTACTTCCTGTCTCCCAAGCACAAGAACACTATTCATCTCGGAAACCGCTGCCCCCTAGCTGAGTTATTTCTGTTGGTGAGAAGGTAACTCAGAAAGTTTCTCTAAGCACTCCCAACATCAGCAGAGCAAGTCTCAAACTCCCCAGCTACACTCAGCCCCGTGCTAGGTGCCCAGGAAGTAACAGACTGCAGACATGAGGGCTGATCATGGAAGGTGCCAGAGGAATGGTAGGGAGAGGAGGCTCTGTTTGGCCCACTCTGGGGCAGTTGTAGGAATCAGGTTCCTGTGGGAAGGGCTGTGCTGGCCAGGAAAATGCAGAAGAGAGACATTCTTGCCCTGGACCCAGCCATGGAGAACAGGAAGTGCACAGAATACAGCCCAGATGGCCCAGTACCTCCCAAGAGGGGCTTTTCTTAAACCAAGCAGTATTTCAAGGTAAGGACAGACCCAGACGCCTTTTAGAGGGTGAAAAATGTAGGCTCTGGAGAAAAGAAAAAAACATACAGCTTTTATTAAAAACAAAAAGAATTCAGCCTGTCATCACCTCACACTGTGGGATAATTTATTTCAGAGCCATTCAATGACATTATTGCTGAGAAACCACAAAATATAACTAGTCAGTGTGCTCCACATTAGGGTGAGCTGTGGGTGAGTGCAAGACCTGCAGTGCAGGGACCACCACTGACTGCAAAGGCACCTCCCTCGCCCAGGGCTGAAATACAATGTACAGGCGCTCTTGCTCAGGGAACTCACTCAGCACAGGGCGAGGATGATGTGGGCCCACCACTGCACCAGGCAGGTTGCTTCTAACAAGAACCACTGCCTAACACCTCCATCAGTTTGGCCATCATTCCTGAGCTCAGAGTGCCTGCCCACCATGAACAACTTTTAGTTTTCATTTTAAGGAACATCCCATTTAGCCTTTGCTGAGGTGAGCCACAGGACATGAAGTTAGAAACAGCACTGGAGGGAATCCGCAGCCAGGCCCTGTCCTTGGGCTGCCAGCCATCCTGCACTCCCTGTACATGCAGCAGGGGAGGCCTCTGGTCCAGGCCAGACTGCACGTTTGCAAGACTGGAGTAAAATGAAACAGAACAACCCAAGGACTGCAGAGACCCTGCTGTTGGGAGCTGTTTACTTAGCACACTACCTCCTGGAGGGCACCACCTAACAGGGCAGCTCAGGGACAGGGTCAGGCCTGAGCATGACAGACAGCAACAGGTTCTGAGGTGCTATCGAGCACCAGTCTGCTGCAGGGAGATTTACAGTGGCAGAAAGCTGGGCTCACTACAGCTACAGCAGCAAACAAACAGCATCCAGTACTCCACAAATAAACTTGTTACACCCCGTCTGGTCCAGCAACAACCCTCCCAGCACCTCCTTCTTCAAAGATCTACCAGAACTTTCTCCTGCATCATGCACACATTATTTTAAAGCATCACTTTTATACCTTGTTTTCAAGGAATTAAAACACATCCAAGTGGTCTCATACTAGCTGTGGTCTCCTCAAAACATGATACACAGCCGCACTATCCTATTCATAGACAAGTCTGTCCTTGGTTAAGACATCTGGGGCCCTGGAAGGCAGCAAGCCTGCTTGCAGGAGGAACTGGCACACTTTCCCTTTAAAACTGAACCTTAGTGAGGCTCTAGGATGAGGCCTGCCCCTCTTGGGGGTTTCTTGCTGCAGGGGCTGACCTGTCATAGGCTCCCCATGGTCTGCTGGAAGAGAAGCCACTGTATGCAGTGAAAACAGCCTTGAGAATAAGAATTCTTCAAGATTCCTTTTTGGCAGTGTATTTCCACATGCAATCAGTTCAGGGCCACTGGTAGAGCCCTGGATGCAAGGTCCAGGGCTCCCCATAACACCCAGACGCTTCAGCGAGTTTCCTCCCAAGTTGCCACAGGGACAGTGCTGGCCATGTCCAGGGAAGCCAAAATAACTTAGAAAACAGGCGCCCTGGGGCGGGAAGTGGCACACCCGCCTCCCAGATGACGAGCAAAGCAGCTATTTCCTGAGCCTCAGAAGGGAGACCACGGCTCTGCCTTTTGCCAGGGAGGGGACCTGGAGCCCAGTGAGCTGGGTGGAGACAGGAAGATGCCAGGCATGGTGAGCCAACATCACTTCTGTCCCACAAAGACATGGTATTTTAGAAATTCTCTTCATTCGCCCAACGCGTGATTATTGACTGTACATTACTTGCACCTGCTGGGTATTTTGGAAATAAGGAGACACAGACAGCGTTTCCCTTCAGAGAGCCTTGCAGAGGACTGAGGGCAGCAGCAAGAGGAGGTAGTTCAGTCCACAGGAACGAGCGCTCCTGACCCACCACACGTGTGCTTCCTGGGATGTCCAGACCCAGGGCTGCGGACAGCCTCAGGGTCAGCCACGTCCTTTCTGACACTGTGAGGTTTGTGTCCAGTTATGATAATCTATAAAACTCAGTACTGCTTTGCTTGTTAACTAGTTCCAGAATTATTCATCAACTTATTTATATCCAGGCTTTCTCCACAAATAATCTGAAGCACTTTCTATCTCCCATTAGGGAGGGTGGAGATTTTAATATAATAACTTACTGTAATGTAAATAAATTAATATAACTTAATAATTAATTGAAATGTGATGTGACAATAATAATAATTCTTAAAAGAAAAAAAGCTTGGGTATCTTTCACAAAAAGAGAAAGAAAGAAAGAGACAGATTGCCAGGTGATAGCGGCTTAAGCCTGTGTTCCTAGCTACTCAGAAGACTGAGGCAGGAGGATGGAAAGTTCACTAAGCAGCTTGTGCAACTTAGTAAGACTGTCTCAAAGTAAAATAAACAAATAAGCAAACCAAAATGGCTAGAGATGCGGCTCAGCATGAGGCCTGGTTCCATCCCCAGCACAGGCGTAGAAGGAAGCAGCACGAGATGTATACTGGATATTATATAGATGTGGAGTGTATTCCAGCAATTTCTGACACCACAAAAGGGAAAGCTGCTCTTCCCAGGCCTGGCCTTCCTGCTTAGAGGTCTCTCCAGTGTCTGCAATCCCCCCAAGCTGGAGGCACTGGACCTGGTGCCACAGGAGTAGGGACAGGGACACACACTTAGCAAGAACACTCCAGTAGCAGCCTTGGGGGTCTCAGTCTAGCTTTATCTCTTTTTTGCTTGGTACTCGGGACTGGAGCTAGGACCTGGCGCAAGCACTCTATTACTGAATAACAAACACTCCCCAGCCCTTTTTATTTAAGGCAGAATCTTGCTAAGCTGTCCAGGTTGCCTCAAACTTGCCTTCCAATTGTCCTGCCTTGGCTTCTGAAGCAGCTGGGTTCACAGCTGTGCACCACCAGGCTGGCTCTGTCTAGCTCTGGGGTGTGCTCAGAGGCCACATTCTGATGGGCCCAAGGAAGTCTGGCCAGGATCTTCCCAAGCCAAGCGAACTGACTTCTTCTCTGGTTGCAGTTTAGATCAAAAGCATTAGGAGCACTTTGGAGCACAGGCCTGGCTCGTGTGGAGTTGGGTGGGGTGTTCTGAACCCTCTTGCTTCTCCAACCTGGAAGGAACACTGAGCTCACCAGAAACAACTCAGCACAGCATGTGGCATCTGCAGTGGGGCAGCTGCCCAGACTGCCCTCCACTGTTTCTTCCCAGGTGAGCTGCCTGAACCTAATCACCAGCATCATGTCCTAAGCACTCTGAAGAAGACAAAGGTGGTCATCATCTATGCGTGGCCCTGGGTCCAGTTACACTATACTCATGAAGGTGGCTCATGGCACTGAAATCCACCAGGCCCTGCCCAGCAGCACACCTGGCTCCACAGGCCCTCAGAGCTTCAACTTGCTTCCCCCAAGCAGCCATCTGAGTAACAGCCCCCAGTTGCACACCCTCTCCTGCCAGCAACTGGCCTGCAGACCTATGACTTTTAACAAAACAGAGGAGCCCTGGATCCTCTTGCTGAGCTTGTGACCAGCTGTGTAGGGATCTGCAACGTTCTAATCCATCTGTGAACAGCTTCATGAGACACAGGGAGCACTGGGCCACCCCACCTGAGGGTGGCATCACCCCCTAAAGACATTCCAACGTAAGGTGAAGAGATGTGGCTGTCTGAGAGCATAGAGGGCACCAGGAGAACAGGACAAGAATGGATTCGCTTTGTAGCCAAGCTACAAAGTTTAGTGATAGCTGCTGAATGAACTGAATACTGAAGCTGAAAGCTCTCGGATAAAGCACATCGAACTCAAGAATGAGAGGACTGGAAAGAACGCCAGGAAGTTCTGCTGCAAGCAGCCAAATCCTAGCTGGAAAGCAAAAAGGACCACAAGAGCCCAGGTCTCCACTTCCCGCCTCAACTCTTTTCCCAACAACTGACTCTCCCACTTTCACCTGCCTTGGCTCCCACCGACCTCAGAGAGCTGCAGTCCACAGCCACAGAACACACAGTGAACTACCTGCAGGGCAGGCTTTCAGGAGGGGCGCTAAGAACACCAGGCAGAGGGGCCTGGATGGAATGCTTTTTTCAGACATGAAAAAGACGTTGGATTTTTTTTAAAGGGTAGTGAGTGCTATGGAAAATATGACACCATCCTTACAGAGCCACATGGGCTCTCCTGGCCAGAGTGCCTGTCCCAATTCCATCACTTCATTTGCACGGGAGCCGGACTGACTGCCTGTACAGAGCATGGAGGTCTCACAGGCTGTGAGGGGCTGAGAAGTCAGAGGGCTGGTGGGCAGGACCCAGGGTGCAGGGATTGGGCTCCGCCGATCCGAGAGGTTTGTCATCCACGGCTCTCATTACTATCCAAGGGCATCAGCTTGGGAAGGAGGGGGGTCACGGCCGTTTCTTAACTCTAGGCTTTATTTTTGACAGAGAGAAGACAGAGTGAAAGCAGGCAAGAAACAACAAAAAAACCACCGCCACCCTGAGACTCCCTGGGCGGCGCCAGGCCCGGCCTCCTCCGGGCTCTGGCCCCGGGCTGCGAAGCGGCTCATGGAGGGCGGCTTCCCAGTGCCCTCTGGCAGCGACGCGGGCCATCTGTTCTCGGACGACGACGTCCAAGTCCTGAGCTGCGGCCACTGTTCCCCTCGGAAAAGGCCGCTGGGAGCAGGGCGGCCTCCTCCCGCTCCCTCCACACCCAGCGCTCGCCTTGGGACGCCAGGAGCGCCCTGCGGCCGCGCGAGGCACCTGCCCCGGCCACAGGTGGCCCCCGAAGCCGCGCGCTCGCCCGCTGTCGCGTCGCCCGGGCCGGCGCAGGGCGCGGAGGAGGAGCCGGTCCCCGCGCCGAGGCCAGGCAGGGCGCCGCCCCCGTCCCGCGCGGACCCACCTGCGGCGGCCGCAGCCTCGCCGCTCTGGTTGAACTCGAAGAGGAAATCGAAGTCAAACTCCGGGTCCTGCTCCAGCCCCGTCATGTCGGGGTCCGACGGGCGCGCCCGGCCGCGGCGCGTCTCCCTCGGCGTGACGCGCCCCCGCCTCCCGCCGTCCTGCGCCCTCCTCTGTCCCCTCCCCAGCTCCCGCGCGGTCCCGCCCCTGTCCCCCCGGGTGTTTCCGGGTTTACATAAACAAGCGGCTAGCGGCCGCCGGCTTCCGAGTTTTAAATAAACTCCGCGCGCGGTCCTGAGCGCAGCCCTGGCGCCGCCCCGCGGTCCCCCCCGGCCGGGGCGCGGAGAATGCGGGCGGCGCAGGCCAGGCCGAGCTTCGCGGGACCCGGGCGGGCGCGGGCACCGAGGCGAACTGGTCCGGTCCGCTCCGCGGAGCGGAGATCGGGCTGCTGGGAGCGCCGAAAGTTTAAGAGGAAGTACGGAAAGGCCTCGCATTGCGGACCTCCGCGTTCAGGGTTTGCCCTGGCCGGAGCCAGCCTGCCCGCCTCCGCCAGTGCCCGAGGCCTGAGCGCCGGGGGCTCCGTGACCGACTTCAAGCCCACGTTTTCTACCCCTTTGCTAGGGAAATTGACCAGAGTGCCAGAAAGTGGGAGAGCTTCGGTGGGTCGCCAGTGCGCTGCCCTTTGCAGGGTGCAGTCTACAACCCGTCCAATGACTCGGGGCCCACCCTTCCCTCTTCCCTCTAACGGCGGCGGGCGCCTGTCTGGTAGCAGCCCGCTTTCCTACACTACCGGCCTCATTAAATCCTAGCTCCTAAAATGCCACACATACGTGCAAGGATCTTGCTATCCTTGTGGAGTCGTTTTAAGCTCAAAGGCTCGGGCTCCGGAAGGGGGTTTACCCAGGCCCCGCACAGCCGCTGGCATACACAGCAGTCAGGAAAGGCTGCGCCGTGGCGCCCGGTCCACTCTTTCCTGTTTCTCCCAGCTTTTTGTTCTAACTTTCCTTGTGTCTTGGCACCATGTGAAGGCAACATCTGGAATACCAGGAAAATGGAGGCCTGGATTTGAGAGCGAAGCTGGGCCTGAGCGCAGGGAGGGAGGATGGAGGTCAGTGTCAACATTTGCCACCACGAAGCTCAGGCCTCCTTTCAGCCCTAGGGCCCTGCAGCCCTGGGGAGAGCTTTTTTCAGAGGCGGTAACCTGGGCCTCACGTGGACTTGCCACTCCTCCCAGGACCCTTTTCCAGTGGCCATGGTTTTCTCTCGTGATAAACTAGGGTTCAGTTTGGCCTCATTTAGTTTCTAATAATAGTTCTCACTTTGAGATGCTTGTTGGAGGGTTGTTTTGTTTTAGTTTGCTTTTCTGCTGACCTTTGAGCAAATAAAGTGTTTTGTGTGGAGAAGCCTCAACATTTCATTTTCTCTCCTTTTGTTTTCTTTTTCTAACTTCAGCCATACTTTCAGCACCACCGAAAAATTATACACAAACAACAGCCCTCTCACCTGCTTAGACTAAAGCTTTTTGCACGACTGTTGCTTGCACCATTCAGAGTACACACACCTCCACCTACCAGCCCACAGGAGGGAAGCTCAGGCCCTAAGCTCTTCAGGAGGTAGGTCGGCTCCTTTCACACCCTAGTTGCCCACCCAGGCAGTGACACAGCCAGCAGCAGGGTAAAGGCACACTTTGCGGTCCTGGTCCTGCAGCCGGACAGCCTGTCTTCCTATGTAGTTGCAATCTGGACTCCCATTTGCCAGTTCCGCAGACACTCCTGTCTTGATTGAAGTGTTTAGCTTGGACTAGTTCCTCCAGAGGCTGCGGGATGTTAATGGGATACAGAGCTCCATTGCTGGGTATGATAAAGCAGGGTGCAGGCGCTGTGGCATTTTCTAATCTGGATTAGGAAACAATGCCAAGAAGCTAAATGGCGGGAGAACAGGGTGCTCTTTGTTCAGCCCTGAAGAGCCCGTGGGGCATTCTGTGGCGCAGCTTTGACAGGGTGGCTACCTACAGGCCTGCATTTCTAGGCATTCTCCAGGGGAGAACAGCACAGGGCCTTCACAAATGGCAGTGCAGAGCCTAAGGAGCCTCCTGAGATGCTCATTAAACCAGGAATGGTGGTGATCACTTAGGACTCAGAGGGCAGCTGAGGCACCAGTCACGGCCTCCACCGGACGGACATAGGCTGACTTCCCTGGACCCCTCAGCAATGGCAGACCCAGACCTGCAGACACTGTTGCTGCTGTGCACCGGCCTGCCAGTGCACAAGATGGGATCCACCTCCCAGTTAGCCCAATTTTATAGGCCCTATAAAATATGCCAATATTGTTTAAAGAATATTACTAGCCCCATTCTATGGCCCCTTAACCAGGGCATTTTCAAGCTTATTTTCCAAGTTGGAAATATGAAAAAATAATCACTACTTCCATCAATGTTTTTTTCCTCTTCTGAAGAGAAAAAATATTTATTACACTGACTCTCCAAGTAAAGAAATATAAACTTAGACAGACCTACCTTTTCTAGAGTAGTGACAAACATTTAGGGAAATAAGGACACCAAAAGTATTGTTAAACTTTTCTCATAGCAAGAGCTGGTTATATAGACATTAAAAGATTGCTGAGGTTTCAACACTTTGGATTGAGATGATATGAAGCACAAGCCACATCTGCCTCCCTGCTCTGCATCCAGAGTTTTCAGTCTTTCTACGTGGGACATCTAAGCTCCGAAAATGCTGGTCCTCTTGTGCTGAGTTTACTGGCTCCAGCTCATCTGTTACAGATGCGAGCTCTCCAAAGCTGCTCATCTGTGGGAGCTGCGGATCCACAGCAAGGGAACATTTCTTTGTCTTGTGCAAGAAACTAGCATTTCCCTTAAAGTGCGTGTGAGAAGGATATCTGCTCTTAAAACTGAGGGCACACCAGCACTGACAGGCATACCAGGCTTTCAACACTTGTAAGTAATACACATCAGAGCTGATAAGGAATTTGGAGAGGTGTCTCTCAATTTTTTTTCCTGCATTGTCCATCTTAATCCGAGAGAATGCTAACCATCCCTTCCTGAGCTGTTGTCAAAAAGACACCTGCCTGAGCCCATGGGGTGGTTTTTGTTATTGTGATGATTCCTTTAATGGGACAGCAGGCAGGTACTTGCAGGGGAGCCTTAAGCCAGTATTGGGCTGGCCATGCAGGCTCAGGGAAAACGCTGATGCCCCTTGCTTACCATACATAAAGCAGCAGCTTGGACGTTGGCAGTTCCTTCCAACCTCTCCAGAAGCATTTTTTACTTGGGACTCTCCCCTCTAAAAAACAGAGGGCAGGCCTAGGAGAGACCTGTGCTCCCAGGAGCATTTGACCACAAGCCTGACTGCCCTGCCTGCGGAGGGTCCTCGAACATCTGGTGGCATATGACTCTGCTTGGCGCTCAAGGAGAGGCACAGGAATCCCCAGATTTCATGTTGAGAGGCCCCAAGGGGTGGCTTTGCCTCCCTCGAGGGCCATCCCTCATCTCCCCCCCCCCAAATCGCATGTATCTCAAAGGGTCCTTTGTGGTTTGAGGGCCCTACCTTGCCCCATCCCCCAAAGTGCTCACATTTATACTCAGTTTCCACAGCCAGGATCTCGGCGAGGCTGCCCCAGCCAAGGCCAAGCTCGCGCACTTAGCGCTAGAAAAGAGGAGACACCTATTGGCAAGAAAGAGCGCTAGAAATCAGGGCTGCGCCGAGGAAACACCAGGGGGACACCCTACCCAATCCGTGCGGCGCCGGCCGCCCGCGCCCTCCTGGACGCTCAGTTCTAGGTCGGGCCGCCAGGCTCCGGGGCTTCCTTGCTGGAGGCGCGGAGCGTGGGCAGCAGGCGCTGCGGCCCGGGGCCCGGGGGCACAGGATGGGAAGCAGGCTTACCTTCCTCGGCCGCCTTCATGGTGCCGCTGGCGGGCGGCGCGGGCCCCAAAGTTTCTCCGCTCCCGCAGACTGCGGCCGGAGGGCCGAGTGGAAACTTGGAAGGGACTGGAAAGCTGGTACTTGGCATCCACGCGACAGCGGCGGTTCGCAGCGGGAGGAGGAGCGGCCACGGGCGGCGGGGCGTCCGGGCTGGGCTCTGGGAGCCGGACTCTCCCCGGCGGACACGCGCTGGGCCGGCTCAGCGCCGCGCGCTCCGGAGAAATGTCATCAGGGGACGTGCGCGCGTGGCAGGCCCGGCTTCGGCCCGGGACCCGCGCGCAGCGGGGCCGAAATGTGCGCCGCACCCGGAGCCCGCGCCCGGCCGCTTGGATCCGGCGCGGCGACCCCGCCGGCGAGTTCGGAGCCTCTAAGTCTCGCTCTGACGCAGGGCTGCGCTCTACCGCCTCCCTTTTTAAAGCTGGAAAACACCTCCCCCGCCTCCCTGCCGGCCCGGCGCTCCGCGCCCCCTCCCTGCAGTGACATCACGCCCCTGCCCGCCAGAGCCGGCTCGGGCCCGGGGGACTCAGCGCCGAGCGCCGCCCTCTCTGCGCCGCAGGGGCAGCTCGCCGCTCGGCTGGGACTCGGGTCCTCGGCGGTGGGCAGAGGCACACGAGACGGTGCAGGGGCGCGAAGGATGGGCAGAGGTGCACTAGCGGGAAACCGGCTCAAGTGGCGCGGGTGGGGACCACAGCCTTGCGGGCGAAATGCCGGAGGGGAGGGCGCGCGCTGCTGAGAAGGGCGCACTGGCCGGACCCGACGCCTGTGTCCACGCGGGGGTCCAGAGAGAGCCACGCTCTGCGTTAGTGAGGGGGCTGGGGTGCGGATGGCGGCTACGGTGTAGAGAAAGGCCTGCATGCTGAAGTCATTATGTAAAATCGCAGGCTTCCCCCGCTATGGAAATTTGGAAAAGCGCTTCCACTGGCAGGCCCGAGAAAGGAAATTCCCATCCCGCTAAATTACTAACAGATTGCTTGGCCATCCCGGGTTGGTCTAATATCATTTTTTATTCTGTAAATATCGGCGCGACCCAACTTGCGGGTTGCAGGAGCTGAGTTAGGGGTCGAAGAGAGCGCTTCCATCTGTGGGTCCCTGTGTGTCCTCACACACCCCGGGCGACCCTGGGGTTTCCAAAGGTGGGCAGGGCTAGTGTCCAGCCTACTTTGGACGCCACCTCGTGTCGATTTACACTTTCCTCTTTAAAATCCACCCCCCATCTCTCCGGGCGCCCGGGCAGCTGCCAGAATGGACCTTATTTTCTTGTTGGCTGTGGATGGAAGGGTTGAGTGTCGAGGTGATTAAGAGTGTCTGATGTATTAGAAATCGTAAATGTACTTGCGACAACATATGTGATTTTAAATAAACCCAAAAGCAAAACGGGTGTGTGCCTTGGGGCGGGAAAGCGTCGGGACGCCTGTAGCATATTGCTGTGCCGGGGGGGTGCCCCCAGAGGACTCTAGGGAATTGGGTAGGGGTGGCTTGGGTTAATATTTGACCCAAACAGTGAGAGGCGCTGGCCAATTGGGTGCCACGTTAAAAACCAGAAAGTTTCGCGGAGAAAACCTGTCTAATCCACTCTCACCTACCAGGCCTTTCCTGAGACTCCAACTCTGCAGAACTCGTCTTTCCACGGGTCTCGGCTCAGGGCACCATCGCCCAGAGCTGCGGGCCGGGAGGACGCAGGGTCTGGCGTGGCCACCTGTGGACCCGCTCGCGCGCTTGGGGTTCGCGGGGAGTGAGCTCCTCATAGCCCGCTAAACTACTAACTAGGTGCGGAGAGAACCAGAGAGGTGGCCAGGGCCGAGTAGCTGAGGGACCCCGTGAGGACTGTGAGGTAGACGGCGCCCGCCAGGGCTGTCCACACCCGGGGCTCCAAAGTAACCCGAGGCCGCCGCTAGGGGGCACCAGGGCCACGCCCCCTCCCTGCCCCCAGCTCTTCTAAAAAAAATCTCTCCAGCAGTCCTGGTGTCCCCGTCTTGGGTGCCAGGACTCTGCCTGGAGTTTCCGTCCCCGCCCACCCTGCCAGGACTTTGCCGGCAGAGTTTCCGTCCCCGCCCTCTTCTTCCCTCCAGGTCCCCGCCGGCGGGACGGAGGCTCCGAGGCGCGGCGAGGAGCGGGCCCGCGCGGGGCTGGGCAGCGCCCGGGCGCGGAGGTGGCGAGGCGCGTCAGGGCCACCGGCGCGCCCTGCTTGCCGGTCGGCTCCGCGCGGCCGCCCGGGCCCGGGGGATGCCACTTGGGAGGCGCGGGCGGGCGCAGCACCTCCCGTCCGGCTCTTCCGCGCCCCCTCCCGTCCCTCCTCCGGCTGCTCTTCCCCCTGCTACTCCCCCTTCAATAAATAACTTTTCACCCCGGCCAGAAACGCTCTTTCCTGTCTGTCTCAATGCCCTCCTTATCCCCCGCGGTGACGGAATCCCGGGCCTGTTTCCCTCTGTTTAATGCCGTTGCCGGGACCACGCTGGCCGCGCGCCAGGGCGCACGGAGCTCCGAGGCGGCGGCGCACGGAGCGCCACCAGCTCCCGGCTGCGCGCCCGGCCCTGCCGCCGGCCTCTCCCGCCGGCCTAGCTCCCCGCGCGTCCCTTGCGCCTCTTTTCCTCTTCTCCGCTCTCCTCTCCAGGTTTGTTTATAGCTGCTACTAGGAGAGACGTTACACGGATTTTATTTTAAGAATTGGTGGTGACTAACTATGTTAAAAGGAGCTTAGGATAACAAACAAGACTATTTTTAGATTACTGTTGTTTCTGTGAATTATTGGGGGCAAATACCCCCCGAGTAGCTTAGCGTTTTAGAAGTGACTTTGGATGCCAAATCCCTTTTCCAAGAGCGGACTCGGATGTTCTTCTGTGTTTTCTAGAGACTGAAGAAACCTGGTGTGATGACACCACTGCTGCCGGCTCCCGCTGGGAGAGGCGTTCCCAGCGCAGCCTTAGCACCTGAGGTCCAGTCCAAGAGGCCCAGCTCCCAGGCTCACCCTTCTGCCCCAGCCCCTTTGGGACCCTCCATCCACCTGTGCCTCCTCTGAGCTGCTCTGCGGTCAGGCACCTGGAATCAGGTGGGCCCTTCCACTAAACCACACAGCCACATGCTTCTTGCTTGTGAAAATCACGTCAAACACCTGTAGTTACGTGTGTCCCACACGTGCTCTGCTGTGTCTACAATCTAAGCCACAGTGGTGGTCACTTTAATGTTCCCATTTCAGCTACCTGCACACCTCTGACTCAGTTCCTAAAATGGCAAGTGTGAGTCCCCCTCTTTTCCTCCCAGTGGTACCTTCCAACCAACAAGGAGGGGCCCAAAGGCGAGAGAATGCTAGAAGGCTGGCCCAGGACAGTAGGGTGACCTTAACAAACTACAATGATAGGGCAGGTTGTTTACCCCACACCTGAGTGTGTGTGTGTGTGTGTGTGTGTGTGACGCCTGAGTGTGTGTGTGGGTGTGTGTTGCTTGAGACAGAGCCCAGGCGAGGATCTAACCTTGGCCACACTCCCAGCCAGGTTACTTCCTGTACTAAATTTGTGTTAAAGTGCGTGCAAGTCTCAGGTGGTTGGAGTTGAGAAGGAACTTCTTTTGGTGCACTCCTGTGTCAATAGTTGCAGACCTTCCTTTCACTTTGGGGTTTTCTTGAAAACCGTAACTTTGGGGCTCAGCAATCCTACACCGAACTTGTACTTGCAAAATGCCTCTTCAGTCCTCTCCTCTTGGTGTGGAGGGTCCTTCATTGGTCTGTGTGCCTGTCCTCAGCCCCGCTGCCCATTTCCTGCATGGCTAGCCAGTCTGCTCCACTTTAGATCTTGGATGCCCTGTGTTAAGGGTTGGTTACCAGTCTGGAGCACTCTTGGGAAGGAAGCTCGCTGGCTGGGAGTGTGTCCTGAGGGGATGCTGGGCCCCTGCTCCTTGTCTTTTCTTTGCTTCCCAGTCACCATGAAAGGAATCGCTCTGCTCCATCCTCGCTCCCCACCATGATGTTCTGCCTTATTGCTGGGCAAAAGTGATGGAGCCAACCCACCATGGAATGAAGCTTCTGAACCATGAGCCAAATAAATTTTTATGCTTTTAACTTGATTTATCTCAGGTATTTTGACTCAGTAATGGAAAGCTAATCACCCAAGGTTGAAGAATTGGATTGATTACAGTGAATGAAGCACCTTCCCCTGGTCCTGTGCCCAGATATCGAGATCATGTTCAGTCTGGCAGCCAATGTTACTCGCCCTCTACATCCCAGGCCTGAAGTAGCTTCGCAGGAATTTCTTTCACCAAACCTTTTGGAGTCACTTTGACCACTACTGAGAGTTCAGAGTTCTCTTGCTGCAAGTTCATCACCCCGTGTTTAGCGGGCACCTCTTGACCTTCTTCCCACTCACCGCTCCACCCTCCCGTCCAGGGTCCCTCCACTGTCACCTGGCTTTGCCTCCCCTCGCTGCCTGCCTGCTTGCCTGCCCGAACTGGTGGTCCAGACAGCCGGCTTTGCTCTGTGGCCGAGCCTACGGTCTACACCTAACACTGTGCCAGAGGCACGGAGAAGACTCTGCATCCTGCTGCAGCTGGGCAAGTGTCCCGTGGGTTTCTGGTAAGAGCACTGGACTGGTGTCCAGTCTGCTACTTTTCTGTTCTGTCTAGTGTTTCAGTCACTGGAAGTAAGATTTATTTACCTCTGTGAGTCTGCTTGTGCTCGCCAGTCTTTGGTTACTCATCTGGGAACTCTGAGGAATACCTGCAGCTATGCTCTTCATATCCTTTTCCTGGATGGCCCTGTCTCTGTGATGAAACATCCCTCTTGATGTGTGTCTGTCATCTTCCTGTCCTGTAACGATCTAGCTGAGATAATTAACATATACAGACATGAGAGATATTTTGACTCTGTTTTGGGGGATCAAGTGGCCTCACTGCTTTGGACCTGTGATGAGGCAGCAGCACACAGTGGAGTAAAGTGAGCTGACTCATGGCCAAGAAGCCAGCAGGAGGAGGAGGGAGGAGCTGAGGTCCAAGGATCGGCCCGCCCTGCAGCTTCCGGGGCGGGTCCTGCCTCTGGGAGACACTCAGCATCCAGACCAGCACAGCTGCTAGGGCTGCCTGTTCTGAGTGGCTTTTCTGTGTGGCCGCGTCACTCTAGCTAGCGCCTCTGCACCTTTCCACCCTTTTGTGGCTGTATACGTCTCAATCTGAAGTGTATCCTACAGACAGCACAGAGCTTGATCAGGTTTTTTAAATCCAGTCTGACGATTTCTGTCCTTTAGTTACACTGGGAAATCCATTCACATTTACTGTATTATTCATATAATGGGATTTGCATGTGCCATTTTGTGTATGTGTGTGTGTGCGCGCGCGTGTGTATCCTGACACTTTACACCTAGCTACCTCCCCAGCCGGTTTTATTTTGAGACAAGGTCTGGCTGAGTCGCCTGGGGTGAGCACAGTTTGTGAGACTCCTGCCTCAACTTCCCATGTTTGTTTTTAATTTTCCACATCTCTTTTTTTCTCTCTATTGTGCCTTTTTTGCTTTTCTTTTGCACTAGGTGAATATTTTCTAATGTAGCTTTTCTCTTTGTTTTTATTTTCTTGTCACTTCCTTTATGGTTGCTCGTGTTCAGTATTTACATTTATCTTCACAATCAGCTTTAGGTTTGCATTAGTTTAGTTTCAGTGATACAGAAGAACGTTATTTCCTTATAGTTCTGCTCCTTTATTTCCACTTTCATGGCGCTCTGTCCGCTGTGCAACGAACAGTAACAGTACACTGTGATAATTATTAGTTTGCCATCTGTAGTCACTTCCTTACTTTAAGGCAGTTTTGCTCCCGCCCCTGCCTTTGTGTCATCATTGGCAAATATATCACACACGTGTTATACTTCTGTAAGTTACAGGCCTGGCACTACATTAAATACATATTATTTTATACAATTACTCTCTAAGTGAGTTATGAGAAGAAAAGAGAAAATATGCATTTATACCATCATAAAATTGCATACTGCCTTTACTGGCATCTGTCTTCGTGCGGATTCAGGTTACCGCCTAAGTTTTCCTGCTTTAGCATGAAGAACTTCTTCTGTTTCTGACAAAGTGGGGCTGCTAGTAGCAGATTCCCAGTTTTTACTCCTCTGCAAGAGTCTTAACTGCACCTCAAGAAAGCTCTGCTGGCTGCAGGGTATTGGCTGACGAGTTTCCCGGGCCACTTGGGGTACAGTTAGCTCCAGCCGCCCAGCTCCAGTGTTCCTGCTGGGAAGTCGGAGCTGCCTTTACTGAGGCCTCCGGGAAGCCGCGCTGTTTTCTCCTTTCTACGTGGAGACTGTCCTTGCCGTCACTTCCGGCATTCCTACTGCCATGTGGCAGCTTGTGAGTCTGCTGAGCTGACCGTGCTGGGCTGGGGTCCTCGGGTTTCTTTGTCCCTTCTCTCCGTATCTTTCTCCTCCTCCCATCTCCTGCTCCCTCTTCTCTGTCTAATACTCCTAGCGGGCACACTCAGGAGTACCCCGCATTCTCTCAGGCTGGCTTTAGGTTTGCTTTTTCTGATTTTCTCTACAATGTCCGTCCTTCCTTCCTTCCTCTTTCTTTCTTTCTTTCTTTCTTTCTTTTTCTTTCTCTTCTTCCTTTTTGTGATGGTGCTAGGCACTGAGCCCAAGGCCTTCACATTGAGCTACATTCCCAGCCCTTTCTTACTTTTTATTATGAAGCGAGGTCTCACTGAGTTGCCCAGATGGCACTTGAACTTGTAATGGCTCAGGTTCCTGTGTGTCTAAATTATAGGTGTGCGTCACTGTGCCCAGCTTCTCTCTGTTCTTGATTTGCATAATCTCTGGATTTTTTTATCTCTAGATTTTTTAAATTCTTTTTTCAACGTGCTCAAATTTGTTGCTAAGCCTCTCTGGTAAGTTATTTACTTCCAGTGTTGTACTTTTTGTTCGTGAGCTTGGTTCTTTTCTGTAGTTCCTGACTCTTCGTTACAATCTACTTGGTGTAATGGTGGCATCATGCCTTGCTTGACTTTATTGATCAAGTCTCATGTCAGCTCTGTGAATAGGTTTGTGGTGGATAAGGTGGAGTCCCCTGTCACTTCCACCCTCTGGTCATGCCGGCACTTTCTATTATCTGCTTCATTTTTAATCTGTAAATTATGCTTGTGCGTTCTTTGTATCATGACTTTTATCTTGGAAATCATCCGGTTTCGATAATACCTGGAAGCAACTCTGGGGTCTCCCACTGCGCCCTGGTTATTGTCATTTGCTTACTTGTGTGTTGATGCACTCCTGGGCTGCTGTAGTGAGGCGCACCTGCCTCCACAGCACAGCCTCTGAGGTGGCCCCTCTGGAGAAGGCCCGCCCAGCTCTGATGCCCACAGCGGGAAATGCCACCCCAGCTTTCACCAGCTGAGAGAATTGCTTCCATTTTGTTGGGCCTGATGATTGGGGATTTTGCCCGACATGGCCAAAGAGAGCCTGAACACTATAAGAGTCACTAACCACAGCCAGCTAAGATGCTCTTCCCACCACAGGCCTGGGGAGAGGGCAGGTCTGAAGGAAGAGAGAAGTAAGCTTCCTTTAACCAGGAGGGAAGAGAGAACCAGCGAAGCCTCACAGTGGGTTGTACCCCCTGGACCTTCTGTGTTCACTGGCCCCTGGCCCACCCTGGCTGCATGTGCAGAGTAGCTCAGCACTAGATGGGTACCGCACTTCTGCACCCAGCTGCACCCAGCTCAGGCCTCATCCATGCCTCACCTTGTTTTAAGAGGGCCGTGCAAAGGCCTACGCAGATAGCCTGTGCTCTCCAGAACCTGCCTCCGCGTGTTCCATTCTGGGGACCCAGAGACCACATCTGAGCAGCCCTGTGCCCTGCTCAGGAAGGCCGGGGCTGACAGGACACATGCTAATACCTTCTACAAAATTCCGTATTTGTCTCTGTAAACCCACGGCTGTTTTCCTCTCTCACACTAATAACCAGTCATAATCAGCATTCTGATGACTGCACTGTGACCTTCCTTAAATCACAGTTTACCCAAACCACCACTAAGCAGCAGTTGAAGCAATCATCTTGCGCCTGCCTTGGGTGATGAGGCCCTTTTGGGTTGCTATCTGGTACCAACGACTCAGCCCTGCCTGCGTGTGGCAGAGCTCACAGGCTCAGGGCTCAGCTCTCCCACCTGGATGCACAGAAGCCCACAGCTTGGCTTTGCCCAGCTTCCCAAACTATTTTTAAAGTGTTTGATTCAATAAACTCTAAGCAAGTTTTGCCAGGCACTTTTTCCGTTAACTTTTAAACCGGAGTGAATTTCAAGGGGAATTTAATCCATGTGCTTCTGACTCATTTACACTTAACCCATTAAAATGTTGGGTTGGGATTTTGATGTCCAGGAAGACAGGACTTCTGGCAGCCTTGGGTTCTCCTTGGTCTCCGGAATGGCCCTGCGCACGGTGCAGGTAGCACCACTGTCCCACTGCAGCCCAGGGCGCCCTTGGCCCATGCGGTGACGCAGAGTCTGCCACACCCAGACCATTTAAAGCGGGTTTTCTTTTTAAAATTGTGGTAAAATATGTGCAACACCAGACTCCCCATTTTAGCCCATTTTTGAGTGCACAGAGTATACTCACCATCTTCCACAACCGTCACACTATCCATCCGGAACGTTCTTCCAAAACAGGCTCTGTGTGCGTGACCACCAACTGCCCTTCCTGGCCCTACCAGACCATGTTGGTCCCGTCCTCGTGGGCCGCCTTTCCTCGGGACCTCACAGGAGTGAGCCAGGCACAGTCATCTTTTTGCGCCTGGCTTATTCCACTCAGCACACTGTCCTCAAGATTTTCCCCTGTTACAGCATTTTATTTACTCCTCTTTTCTTTCCCCTCCTCTCTGCTCTTCCCCTCTCCTCCCTCCCCTTCCTCTCCCTTCTTTCTCTTTTCTGAAACTGACCTTGCTAGGTTACCCTGGCTGGCTCTCAGCTCTTGTTCTCAAGCTGTTCTCCTGCCTCGGCCTCCCTAGGAGCTGGGCAGATGCATGGATAGCAGGTGCCTGCTGTTCCTCCTGATGTCCATTTGGCCGCTGACGGGTCAAAGTTAATGCATCACTTTTGTTTGGCTTCTCCGAATGGTGCTGTTGGGATGTGGGAGTGTGTATCTGAATTCTGCTTCTGGTTCTGTAGCGTCTATGTGGCCGTGTGGCTTGTGCTTGCTTCTTAGCTGGAGTTCTCTCAGTAGGCAGGGGTAGATTCTAACAATGCCCTCTGCTGTGACTCTAGGGTCCCTGAACTTGCTCCCAGCAGAAGCCTGGGGATGCCACAAGCAGCGCAGGAAGGTGCTCAGGACAAGCCTTGCTGCTGCCCAGAAGGCAGAATGTATGGTGTCATCAGGAAGACAGAGTTGTTGAGCGTGGTGGGTAAGGCTCCTCCACTGCAGCGCTGAGGTGAAGGGTCTACAAGCTGACCTGTGAGGAGCTCTGCTGTGCCTCTTTCCCTGTGTCCCCATATGCTGGTCTGGTGCCCATCCCCAGGCACTCTCTGTTGCCTGCCCCTGTCCTGTGTGGACCATCAGTGCCTGGAGCCCCGTTAGTGGTGCCCAATCACTTCCTGGGGAATTACTCGTTGTCCCATCACTCCGTCCCCACAGGGGCTCCAGGGACACACGGTAGGTCTTTCCATACTTGTAAGGGGTCAGGCCCTGCCAGTGGGACTGGAGTGGTCATGGAAACTGCTCCAGGGTACCGGGGTATGGAACTCAGTGACCAACCACCAAAGGGACTTGACTGCCAACAGGGCCACAGGTCCTATCAAGGGTATTGCTTGTGTCTGGTGGCTGACAGTAGCCACAAGCCCTCAGGATGGGCAGCTGTAATACATAACTGGCTCCTTCATGGTGTGATTCCTTCTGAAGGCCCGACAGTTTGGCCAAGGGGACCAGGGGCCTCTGGGCTGGGGGAAGGTGCATTGGTACTGCTAAGGATGGCGGCGTCTGGAGCCTCTGGGTGGCCTGTGATGGGAGGGGGTCTGACTCAGATTGTTAGATCCTTGAGGGAGGCCCAGCTGGTCCCGAGTGGCAGCCATGGTGAGGCTGCAAGTGGCAGTGGCAGGGGCAGCCCCTGGCTGAGGTTCTAATCCTCTCCAGGCTTGGGCTTCCTCTGACCCTCACCGCAGGTCTCTGTACCTTCAGATCCCACAGCAATCTCTTCCTGCCCTCTCAGCTCCCCCTACAGTGCCCTCTCATTGCGTTTTATGAGTTCCCCTCAGTGCGCAGCCTCCATTGCCGGCAGAGGGCTCCATGGTTATCTGTGCTCTGGCCTTCTCCCTGTGTGCCCCACTTTCCTTTCCAGTTCCTCTGTCCATCCACCCCACCAGGGTGTTTTGGCACATCGGCTTTAAACTCCCCAAGAGCTGGGAGCCCCCAGGAGCCCTGCTTCTCACAGAGCCCTGTCCATGGTCCTCCGGCTGCCTCCATGTTCCTTCTCACTCTGTCAAATACTGAGGAGGAGCCCAAGGAGGTCAAGGAAAGAGCTCCATCCCCAGGTGAGAGAGACAACCAAAACGGACACAGCCAGACTCTCCAGCCTCACCCTAGAGGTTCCCTGGGGGAGGGACAGATTTAGAGGTGCCAGGGCCCCCCATGAGGGCACCGCTCCCAGTGCCTCCCCCTCCTGTCCTGGACTGTGTTTCTGATCACTGACAGGCTCGCTTCTCTCGGAGGATCCCACCTGGCTGCCCCACCTGGAGCCCTCACCTGGTCCAGGATCCAGCTGGCTTAGGACACAGAGCAGCTGGCAGTGGGGCAGGAACCTTGGCTCCCAGGCCCTGTTACATGCTTGACATGGCATCTGTAGCCTCTCAGGGGCCTCCAGAGTTTATAGGAGCCTCTGTCCTGGGATCATGTATGATGAGAGGATGGCCAGAGATGGAAGCCCAGCAGTGTGGCACCTGTCTGTGGGAAGGGCTCTGATTAGAGTCCTGTGGAGGCTGGCAGATGCTCCGTGGCTGTGCCATGGTGTGCATCGTAGAAACTGATGCACATATGACATGAACACATCAACAGTCGTTTCAGTCAGAGGAACTGGTGGTGCCTCTCACAAGTACCTGCAGGCACTTCAATGATAAGTTTTAGCATTGGGGGACTACAAGTAAACTCTCAAGAGAAACAGAGAGAAATACTGACAATTAAAGGCACCTCTAAGGGGCGTCAGAGTCAGATGCATAATTGAAAGGAAATGGTCCACATCCTTATTATGGCCTCAGTTAATCTTCTGTGCAGAGCCTGACCTACATGAAGATGTCTAAAAGGAGCAGCTGAGGAGGAGACAGGCAGGGCCCGGCATGGCACTTTCCCTCCCACCTCCAGGCTAGAGAGGTTGTCCAGTCCTTAGGGACTCCTGAGTGAGCCGAATCTCCCGTTCCTTGACAGCCTCATCCAGGAAGAAGTCTCTGAAGAAGAACCTCAGGTGTCTGCAGGGCTGGGTGGGGGACCCCAGGTGCCTCTTTGGGCATGACATCAGTGAGACTTACTGCCCTTGTACTCTGGGACAAGGTCCGCGTTTGCACTGGTAAGGCCAGGCTTCCCCAAGCCCCTTGAGAATTGTTGCCCATGTCTTCTGTAAACAAACCATTCTGTCTGGGAAAAGTGGAGCCACAGCTCAGCAGTGCTCAGAAAAAAAATGTATGTGAAGTCATGCAATCGGTTGGCTGACCCTTTGTGCGGTCAGTACTCCAGCGTTTCCCAAGACACAAACCCATTGAGAGAGCCAACATTTTAAACCTTTACATAAAAATCGCACGGAAATCCACTCGCTCTCCACAATCACAAGAGAGAAGCAAGCATCCAAGATGCTCTGCTCTTCTGTGGGAATCTGTGCATATTCCCCTTCAAGGCATGGTGTTTAGAGGTACCCAGGGCACCTGATGCAGAATTTGGATGAGTCTGTGTGCATGTAGGGCACAGTCACAGTGTCAGCCTAGGACAACCTTCCCTGCCCAGGGCCTGCGTGGTCTGGTGCAGGGTGAGGCAGTAGGAGAATCCTGAACAGTCAGGATGCAGGAGGAAAGCCAGCCTGGACATTGCTGAGAGCCTGTCTATAAAGGGGGGACCCCCCCCCAAAAAAGCAAAATCACTGAATGATTTCTAAGTTTCCTTCTAGGTCTTTTAGCAAATTCTGTCATTAGTACCGAGTGTGTTCAGGATTCATCAAAATGAATACGGAGACCTGAGTCCTTGGCCTCTGCAAGGTCTCCAGGGGCCCTGACCCAGAGGCACACAAGACCTCTGGCTGACTGCAGCTGTCACCGTAGGCAGCTGGTCCATGGCTCCAGGGGCAGCCTACTGAATTCTTCCCACCAGGACCAGTGGCCTGCACCTTGGTAGTTCCTTAGAGGAGGCAAACAGGCTTCTGGTTCCAGGAAATGCACACCATGTGTACAGAGTGCCTGTAGACAATGGGTGGTTTTTCAGGCAGAGGAAGCCCTGCTGCCCAGGGAATCTCGAGTTCCAGTTGATTTGGCTCAGTAAGACACTTATTTTCTCTGGATTCCTTGTCATCTAAGCTGGCCAGAGCCAGGACTTTCTTAGCGTGGTGGGTTCTGTTTCTTGGCTTCTATCCCCCTCTCCTGGAACCTGCTGGAATGACACCTGTTCTCACTGGCGTCAACGTGGACTGCAAAGAGGATTCTGGGGATATTGTGGGTACCAGAATTGGGCAGAGAGGGTGAGAAACTGGGCATTTGCACAGCAAAGGAGCCCCAATATTTATGATTACTGAAAACACTTGGCAGGGCCACAAGTAAGTGTCTTGTGCTTCATCGGAAGCCAAACCTGAATCAATCCTGCCCCAAACCACTGGACACTCCTTGCAGGGTCATCCCTCCCAGACTGACCAGTGGGCCAGGCAGAAGGTGATGGGCACCTCTCCAAGTAGGGGCCTAGGGAAGCAGGTTTGAGGTGCAGCAGGAGTTCTGTGGCTGTTATGGGGAGATGGAGGGTGTGGGGCTCTGTCATTAAGAGCTTCATTGTAGAGGAGTGGTTTCCCTAAAGGGCTGCACAGGCCAGTCCCTGTTTGGAGGGTTGGAGAGGCCAAGCTAACCATCTCCCTGGCCCTTGGGTGCCCCAGAGGCCAGTCCAGCTAAGGATGCATGGGTGGGATGTAGGTGCTTGTCCCTGTGTGGCTCCTACTGAGCCCTCAACTGGGGGACATCACTGTGGACACCAGGAGGAATTGATCAGTCCATTCTACCCCCTCAGATCTTTTACAAGTGGCCCTGAGGTGAAGGCAAAGGGGCTTTGGGAGACCTGTAGGGAGTTGACCCTGTGGCTTAGGAGATAAGGCACTGGATGTGGCCGTGTTCACAATCCCATTTGTGGAGAGCGTCCCGGGTTCTGGGGCAGCTGTCTCCACTCTGGGGAAAGTAATTTTTAACTTAGAGCCTCCCCTCCCCCTTCTTCACTGGTACTGATACAGTGCTGAGCACCTCCAGGTACGACACTGTCCTGTGGGGAGGAACACAGGTCTCCCAGTGCCATGGACATCAAGGGTACTAGGCACAGGTATCTGAGCAGAAGGGGCCAGACTTGAATGGACTCCAAAAGTGGGGGGCCAGGAAGGTGCTATGGGACAGGAGAAGGGGCAGGGGTGAGAATGTAGGCTTTCTCTCCCCAGCACTGCCCAAGAAAATGTGGTGACTGCTCTGGCACGCATGCTTTCTGTATCCATCTTGTAATATTAAGGTGCCTTTAAGCATCTGGCTCCTGATGGTCAAGGTGTCTGAAGTTCCTCCAAGGTTGGAGGGTCAGGGGTGGAGGAGGAGGTAGTTTTCCAGGTGGGTGACAGGCCACGGAGCTCAGCTAGAGAGTGGCAGTCGGGCCAGGTGGGCACAGCTGGCAGGCCCTGCCCCTCCACAAGGACCTCAGGCTTGTGTCTGGGGCTGCAAAATTGCAGTGACTGTATGCAGCAGATGGTAGATGCAGGGGCCTCTGGCCCAGTGCTGGGCACTGACAGTGTTCCTAGTGCATCCTGAGCCGTGACTCCTGCTGAGCCCGAGAGGCTTCTCCTGCCTCATACTCCAAACCTGTCTGCACTGTCCTCGTTGTCCACACCCTCAGTTCTGTTTTCCATGTCTGTAGTATCTGCTGAGCAAGGGGGAGGGATGCAGGGGCTACGGCAATGCCAGAGGACCAGGATCCACCTCTGTGGCCTGGGTGCCACTGTCCTCTCAAGGGCCATGTGGGTGCTGTCTGATATCCAGGCCCTCACCTGCTCATCTTTCCACCAGTGCTGATGAGCACAGGAGCCTGACCAGCAGCAGGCAGCCCCCACAACCCCGAGGCAAGGGTGGAGGGGAGCCTGCCATACAAATGCCTTCACATGACCCCATGCCCCTGGGACTAAGGGTGGGGACCTCCAGCTGACTTCACTGACCCCTAGGGGAGGGTTGTCATAAGAAACCTGCTAGTGTCAGCAAAGCCCAGTGTGTGTGTGGGTACGTATGTGCAAGCGCTGACTCTCTGGGGGCCCTAAGAGCACCTGGGGAGACTATAGGACCCAGAGGAAAAGTGACAACTAACCAGTGAGGGGTCTGAGGCTCAAATGCTACTTCAGCTTCTCCTCCTTCACAGCCTTCTCGCTCTTGGGAGCCCTGGGCCTACCCACTAGGCCATGGCCGCCCCCACAGGCCAGAGCCACCCGGCAGCCACAGCAGCTTCAAGCCACGCTAAGAGGAAGACTGCTCACAGATCCTCCTGGGCAAACTGGCCCTCGGTCAGGAGGTTATTGCTGGCCAGTTTTCCTACCAGAAAAGAACAAGAGTGGTTTGAGCCATCGCAGCCTGGGTCCCAGCCATCTAATCTGCTCACCTAGGAGGAGGCTAGTGTCCTAGCTGTTCATCTTCTAGACCTTTCCCCATCCCGGTCCTTAGCTAGCAGAATGTTCTCATTACACTTTAAAACATTTTATTTTGAACACAGACTCATAGCACATTGAAAAAAATGTTAAGTTATGGGGAGGGCCTCCTGTCCCACTCCTGCCAGCTCTGAAATCATGGCCAGTAGTGGACGCTGGTGGTCATGGAGCTAACTAGACTTCTCAGGCTATGGTGCAGTGCCACAGCTCATAGCCACCCCATTCTGTGGGTCCCCAAGACCCTATGATGGTTTTGGATCACAAATGCTCCTCACAGGCAGAGGCACATGGCTGGTCCTGGCAGAATGAGGCAGGATCACTAGGAGTGACCTTGTACTTCCTGGCTGACCTGAGGTCAGCAGCTCTGCACCTGTGGATGCTCCCCCTCATGACCTCTGCCTTGCCAAGGGCTTGCAAATGGTGGAGCCGAGTGACCATGAGAAGAAACCTCTGAAACTGTGAGCCACACATCTTCTCCCCTTTTATCATAGTGATGGATATTGCTAGCAAGCACATTGATGCTGGTGATCACTGATTGTACTCCGCATTTTATCAGTGAAATCACACAACATAGCAATTTACTGTGGCTTCTTTTTGTCATTTTTTTCCTCAACTGTGTCGATCTTGTCATAGAGCTGGCTTTTGGATTTACTGGCTTCTATTTGTGGTGACACTCACTTCTATCTTTGCTGCCAGCCTTTCAGTTGCTTTGGGCTTACTCTGCCGCTCTTTCTGGCTTCCCAAAGTGGAAGTCTAGATTTTAGAACTTCCTCTAAGTATTTAAATGTGTCAGTTTCCCTCAAGCGCTACTTCAACTAACTACCTTCCAAGTCCTGACATATTTTTACTGTTACTCAGTTGGAAATAGTTCAGAATTTCTCTAATCGGTTTTTCTCGAACCTGTGTGGTCTCCATGTTGGATTCCAGGGGTTTGTTTTTCTGGGGTCTTGCTGACCCACCACATGGTTTTCTTACGAAGGTTGGGTGTGGAGCCCTGAAATTGCAGGCATCACCCCGATTCCTCTGTCCTCTGGGTTTCTGTGGAGTTGTGGTCCTGGTTCCTAAGGAGACGTGTCAAAGATGCCAAGCTAGCCATGGATGTGACTGGCCTACATGTCCATTGTGGTCCGGATGCAGCCACCCCTTACTTCACCTTAACATTCTTTCTACCTTTTTGTGAAGTGTTCCTTTCTGTCTTCAGTGACACTATGTGAAGTCTATATTCCAAATCCTATCAAGGCCATCTGGTTTTGTGATGCTTCTGTTGGTACACAGTACCTGTCCCATCCTTTTGGTATCAGCTTCCTGTGACATGTGGTTAGTTCTGGTTTTTATCCAGGATGACAATCTGCCTTCTGGCTGAAGCATGTAATAAATGTACAGAAGTGATCTCACAGATGACAGTGTGGACACAATGCTCAGATGGATGCCTCCTGGCCTCAGGGGGTGTAGCTGTGAGCCACAGGGGGCCTGGGCCTGCCCATGACTGTCTCAGGAGAAGTTTTTCTATCATGGCTTCCTTGCTGGATTCTTACAAGTAGAAGAAGCAGCACATGGCACTTGTCTGATCTGTTCTGGCTTCATGGTACATGTGGTATGGGAACAGTGTAGCCCTGATTCAGAAACATTGCGTGATGGTCACTACCTTTAGAATGGCATGAGGGGGTAGAGAGCCCCCATGTACTCATCTGACCAGCCACCACCTATGCACCCAGCAGTGTGTACATCTGTTCACCTCTGTACCACCCTACCCAGCTGTCTCCCTCACCCGTTACCACCCCCTTGCTGATTCTGCTCACTGTGTGGCACTCTGCCCCCTCTACTACATCCCTCTCTGCATGACGGTTCCCTACGCTTGGTATCAGCTTCCGTCCTGCCTCTCCGAGGAGTGTGCCCTGGTTCTGCCAGCTCCATCACCATGTCACATCCCTTTCTTCACAGGCAGAGCTGTGAATGTGATGTCCCTACATGCACCATGAATGCCACTGGACATCTGTGACTAAAGTGCTGAATAAGAGTGGTCTCCTGTTTCACAGAGCTCCCAATGAACAGGAGAAGTCCCAGCTGACTCCTGTACACCAAACGCCCTGCCTGGACTCCGACACCGAGCAGCAGTTCTTCTGTTGCCCTGTGGTGGTAGAATGTACAGACTGGCCGTCACAGGTTCTGAGCAGATGCAGCTCTCCAACTTGGAAGTGTTAATGCAAGCCAGGGAGAATGTGACTGCCCTGTGGTGGCTGTCCTTATTCCATTCCAGGGCACATTTCCTTTTCGTGAGCCTGTTCATAAATGTGGGCCACACCAGATTCAACGATCCTTTATTAGGGTTTATTTTCTTTAATCTAGCAAAAAACCGACACTGCAGATGCCTTCTGAGTTACTTGCTGTGTGCCAGGCATCTGCTTGGAGCCTCTTCTCATCCACTGCCTCATCTGCCCTGGGCAGTGGCATCCTGTGGGGTAACTTCTGGTTCACAGATGAGTACCATCCTGGCTTTCTGCAGTCTCTAACTCGGACTTAACATGTCTTAACTTGTACAGCCTGATGTTAAACTGTTTCTCCTAATTTGTATTCAACTAATGTAAGGCTAGTGAAAGCTGCTACATTTTCAGGTTGTGGTTAGTGGTAGTTTTTCTGAGACTGTCTACAACTTATTATGATCATGCTAATATTTTTTTGGAGACAGGATCTTCTTATGTAGTTTAGGCTGGTCCTGAACTCATTATGTAGCCAGACTGGCCTTGAACTTGTGGTGAGCCTTGTACCTCAGATCCCTGAGTGCTAGGTCAACATCCAATGTGGTTGATTTATTTTAATTTTATGTTTATTTATTTAGTGGCTGCTTTATTTTTAAAAAGCACAACACGAGTGTCTAAGGTACACTTGGCATTCTGTACCCTGGAGCCCTGGATAATATAAGGTTTCATCTTGTGAACTGCTGGCAATTATGAGCCCAATGCCCCTAATTCAAACTGTGTCAAAAGAAGGGAAGAGGATACCATGACACCCAAACACTCCTAATTCAGCACACACAGAAAAGCAGACAGGCGACCCCACTTAGCCAAAGGTTCCCGGACCAAATGACAAAAACACTGACACCTTGTGGCAAATACGAGAAACAGTGCTCTCCAGTCACAATGTCTGTCTGGGAACGAGGAATGCTCAAGCATTGGAAAGATAACCAGCTAAAGGCATTCAAGTCAAAAGGCACCGAAAATCGTGTGGGAAGAAATGAAGCTTTATTGTGGCTGATGCATTTCTTCTTTGAAAGGCAGAAGCTGATGGGAGCCTGGGTGGACAGTGGTATCAGATCCACGGCTCATCAGGGATACTCCTTTGGCTATCACACAGCTTGGGCCTTCCCTGAGGATTTGGGGGCAATGGGAACTACATTCGGTGGGAAATAAAGAACAAGGTCACACACAGCCTAGTGCAAAAAGGCCTGTGAGAGGCTGCTTTAGATTACCTGAAAGGCTTTCTTTCAGCCCAGAGGCTGGGGTTTTATCAGCTCCTCACTGAAGGTCTTGCTGAGAACTTTGGAGGATGGCATACACTATACCCAGCTGGGCTACACATAGCATGGTACACAGGAGAGAGAACAGCTCTGAGAACAGCTCAGAGACCCCCAGCCTGACCAGCCAAGGTAGCTGCTCACAGACAACCTCAGTGCAGCTTGGGAGATGGGGCTTTCTACCTTAACATCACCTATGTGCTGTGAGTATTTACAACCACACACAACTAAGGACACCCATGAACACAGCCTGTGAAGCATCTTTGTGTGTTTCATAGGCAACTGATTTCTACATAGAGGAATTTGTAGGTGTGACTTATACAAGTATAAAAGGCTGGGAATTTAAAAAACACATTCCGTAACAGCAATGCCTTTGAAAAATGATTTATATTTGTCACTGCAATGGAATTATGTCCAGAAATGTTACCATTTGGTCACCTGGGTTTGCATGTGTGAGGCGCACACTCTAGGGAAGGAGTCATGACTGTGTGAGTGTCCACAGGAGAGCGAGACGGGCATCTGAAGGAGACGGCAGCAGCTGCAGAGGTGTGGACACGGACGCTGCTATCTGATGGGAGTGCGCAGGTCAGTCGGCTCCAGCTCTAGACTTTATTGTTCAAGCATGAATGGCTTCCGGTATAACATTATTAAAGAATTTAGATGCTGGAAACTGCAGAAATCAAACTTTCATTTCTCAGAAGGAAAAGTCCTTCACAGCAGAAGTGAAGGAATTCAATTCCTTTTTGCTGGTAGGTCACACTGCCTCAGCATATACCCCAGAGGGACCAGCCTGGGTGTGGGCAGCCCTTACCCTTGTCAGAACACCCTGGCTTCCAAGCTGCCCACCGCAGGGTCTCCACCCAGGCTCATGTCTTCCTCAGGAACAAGGTGCAGACGCTGTGCTCCCTGGAGACGCCAGAGGAACCAGTCCAGTCCTGCAGTAGGTTCTGGCCCTCAGGAGGTCAGCTTGGAATAGCTGGGAGGAGAAAGTTTGCGCTTCAAGTACTTGAGGACGTAGAGTGGGAGGCAGCTGACCACGGTGATCGCTGACACTTTCCACAAGAAGGTCACAGTTGTGATGAAGGCAACATCTGTTGGAAGGAGGCATTCAGTGTGAGAGCCAACTAAGGAGCTCCCAGGCCCCCAAACCGCAGTGGTGACCTGACTGGACCCCGAGAACTCCCTCAAGTTGTCTACTGAAGTTCTGCCGTGCACTTGCATAAGCAGCCTAACTCAGCCTCATGGTGTCTTTACTGCCATGCTGCTCTAGCTGCATGGCGGTGCAACTGGCTCTCCTCAAATGGGATGGGTCCTGAGAACAGGTAGAGACTGTGCATGACTAGTGCTTCCATGTAATTATGAACAGGTAGAAAGCACTTCCAAAACAGGACTTGAAACAACACTGCTGTGCTGCTCATGGGAGGCCATCAGCTAACCAGACTTTGCTCTGCCCAGGACATGCAGGCCAGTCTTAAGGTCCAGCTGTCTTTATAGGGTTTTGGAGAGTGAGTGGCAGCGCCCTGCCTGGACACAAGGCTCAGATGTGCCTGTTTTTCAGTGCTTCTCAGTGTGGCTGTTCTTGGAGCATCTCACAACTACTATAGACAAACTGCTCAATGCCTTACCAGAGCTGTGCTAGAAATAATGGCTATTAACAGTCCTCATGACAAGAGCTGTTTGGGAAACATGACATTTGTACAATTCAATTCTATATAGTGCAGAAATCCCTGTAAATTGTTGTCAGAAATTAGGATTAAAAATTGTCCCACTTGGAGTTTACACAAATAAGTGATGTGGAGAAAGCAACTTTCCTCTGTACAGGAGATCGGGGACCATAAAGGAAAGGTCACAGGAGATCTTACTCTGCATGTGAGAAACCCTGCAAGTGTTTTAGGGAGGGAAAAACAGCCTGGGTCTCACCCCTCCTCCATTCAGAAGCCATGATACCTAGGGTTCTGGATCCACTTCCATGCAGGGCTCACAGGATGTTGCAATGTTAGTAGGAAGGGGTAAGGCAGAGAAAAGTGGTTTTTTTTTTTAATTACTTAAGCATCTTTATCAATTTTGTTTGCTGATGTTCTTCACTCTTTTATTCTGGCTTTTACAGTTTCTACACTTGTGAAAGAAATGATAACTTCACCTACCTAAAAAAGCTCCAAAAGATACTCTGCCTATACCTGTTCCAAGACAAAACAGGAACAAGAACATGAAGGACAGAAAAAAAGGACATATCAGGACATTTGTAGTGGTTAGCTACCAATGAAAGAAATACATTAAACAGTATAGAAATATAAACAGAAAGAAATACATTAAAAATATTCGCATGAAATGCACTTTTGATTGTGCTTTTTTTCTTACTGGGGATCAAACTCATGACCGTGCACTTGCAAAGCAAGTGCTTATGCCACTGAGCTAAATCCCTAGCCCTTGTGATGGTGCTTTTAACCACTTCATTTTATCACCTGTTACAATGTAGTCTTTTAAACATGTGAGTTACATTAATTTCTTAAAAGCAAACACTCAGGAATGTCCCATTGGATCTGGTTCTGAATGTCTTAGAAGAGGGCATCTCAGAACAGTGCAGACCTGACACTGTAGGTTCTGTGACCTACTCAGACCCAGTTCAACACACTGCTGCTCATCGCCAGGCCTGGCCCTAGAAGAAGCTGGTCCAACCTCCAGCCTAGATGAGAAAGCCAAGGCTCGGAGGTTAACAGTTCTGCCCAATTCATATGGCTGCGTTCGTCTGCTACTTCTATACTTTCTGTTTGTAAATTCAGCTTTGTATTTGCTCATATAACATTAGATTAGATACTACAGCTTGGCTTTTCAATTTCAGTATTGTGCTTCTGCTGTTTATATTGTCAAATGAGGGAGACCTGCTATTAAAATGAAGTGCCATAAAAATAAACCAACAAACCAACATTTCTCCATATCTAAGTGCATTAATCATGATCATATAGGAAAATATAGTATGTGCTTATTCTTCAAGCAAAATTACTAAGATGTTCTAATTTGAAAATGGCCCTTTCTTACATCCAAAGATCTATATGTTTTTGGTAAATGTTTAACATAAAACATGGACTTTTAATTTTTCCTGCCTATATGCTCTGCACTACATATGTATGGAACAGTCTGATAAGGGTGGGGTACAACCCGACTGGGCTCATTCATTGCAAGTTTAACTGCTGGTGTGTGGAATGGCTTTGTGCTCACATCTGTTTGCAAACTTTAGTACACTAGCCACTCAGAAGTCACAGTGTGCAGGGATAAGTGTGTGGCTGACTCACCAAATCAATCACCTACGAGAACACTTGTTGCTACTGACATGGTGTGGAGAACACATCGGGTCCGCTTTTCTCCTTTTTGAAATCTTGGATCTTTTCTTCTCATACCAGAAAGAGTACTTGCTCAGTGCTCATGCCACAAAGCCACCTGCTTGATGCTCTCGGGATGTTATGTTCTACCGTGCGTACAGTGACCATCATCTTACCCTCTGCTTTTGTCCCCTGAGACAGACTTGGCCATGTCGGGGAACCAAGTGAGGCTTTATGCTAAATGATCCTCATCTGAGTGAATATCATCTTAGTTTTTTTCTCTGCCTTCATTTAAAAATCTTACAAAGGAATCATATTTAGTCTTCTTAGCTACATTTACAAATTACGGGAATGACCCAGGGATCTGACTGACTAACGACACTGCTTTCATTCCTTGCAACTTCTGGCTGGAAAAGGCCTGAGATTTGGTAAAGGAGAGATGAGTTTATATGACGAAGTGGCTCAGCAGGAGTGGACCAGTGAGGGGGTGGTGAAAGTCCTGGAAATGGAGGGCACAGAGGATTGTAGAGTCACAGACAGGGAACAACAACAGGTTCGTTTTGATGGTTCATTTCACTCAGGAGGTGTGGTTCTGAAGGTTGGGGAAGGCCTCCAGCCCATTTCTAGGGAATTCTTATCACTGGGGAAGAGCTGAGTGACAGCCCAGGGAGAAATAGAGCATTCTGGGCTCCTCTCACCTGTTTCTTCTCAATCTGTAGAGAACAGTGATAGAGGGCATGATGGTGAGAATTACAATTCACAGAGTGCACACCTGTCTAGCACTCTGTGGGCCCCAGACTCAGAAACAGGGCTCAGGGATGTCAAATTACTGTGCCAAACCCCTAGCAAATCATAACAGGTTGGGCTGGGCTGGAGAACAAAGCCAGCACTGGAAGTAACTGAAAGACAGAGCTGAGACCCCATCCTGACACTGACCTAACATCTAATGCCATGAACAGCTGTCTAGTGGAGCTGCATTCTGTGACCTGAGAGTGGAGTGGAGCGTGTGACTTGTGGGCATCTGGGTTTTCTCTCAGGAAGTGTCTGCCTTAGAGTAGCCAGTGGATTGTATCATGACAATAAGGACAAACTGGATATAAATACAACTTAAATGTCTTTTTAAGAGCCAAGATGGTGAAAATTTTAACTTTAAAAATTATTGCAAGGAATTTTACCTTTTCACAAAAATTAATTTTTGTGTTGTGAAACTTTACAGTATGGGTTTTATTGTGATCTACAATTTATGACAATGTTTTACACAGTAACAATATCATAAGTTGTTTAAAAGCTACTAACAATGATTCAAAACATAATTTTAAGCCACTTACCAAAATATTCATTTAGAAAAGCGAGTGAGGCCACATAGCAGCCTAAGCTGAGGAACTCCGCCATGACCATTAGCCAGTGCCATGTTCTGACGGTCAGTGCCACCATGAGCAGCTCAGTGAGGATCAGCGCAGTGAAGGAGATGGCCACGACGTGCACAAACTCTGACTCAAAGAGCACCAGGGCTCCATACATGAGAATGCCCCCTGCAAGACAGTGGCAGAGTGGTCTCCTGTAGGACAGCTTCCTCTGCCTGACTTGGAAGCCGAACTGCTTTCTAGGAAGGCCAGGAAAATGACCATGGAAATAGGTAACTCCTACATAACAGCTAAATTACAGGGTCAGGTATACACTCATCCTCTGTGTGGTCAGTCAACCAGCCAAATGGGGCCTTATGGGTAAAACAAGGTATGGCACTCTCCTGGTCATTTAGAAATGCCACATAGAAGCCATATCTGCGTTTCAATTGGTGTGAATAATGACTCCTTTCACATAATTTATCTCATCTGCAGCAATTACACTTAAAAGAATCACTTAACCTGGAACACCAATAGAGTGGCTAATGACTTCAGTTATATAATTCAGACTTCTTAGAGCCTTGGTAGCATCACTCCAAGAAGGAAAGACTGTGCAGTATACAGTGTAAAAAGTGCTTGTTAAAATTTTTTGAGTCAATATTTAATTAGAAACAGGTCAGTTCTTTTTAGTTGACATGCATCATTTAACAAATATCAATCCACATTTCTGTACTTTAAATTTACAAGATTAATATGAGGCAACATTAAAATTTTGATACAGTTGTAAGTGATTAGAATTTAACCTGGAAGTGAAAACAATATAGCTAAGAGAAGATAAAAAATATTTCTCTGGTCCAGTAAAATCAGGTTGTGTCTTACCTTGGTAAATGCTGATTAGAACCCAGATGAGGAAGGTCTTGAAGGATAATGATCTTCCCTTGGGTACACAGAAGAAAAAGGTTGTTAAAAGAGCACGACAGCATGGTTGGCTTGCATGTTTCCCAGGAATGAGGTGGAGGGAGCTTACTAAAAGTCCCAGGTCCTCGAGCCCAGCATACAGGTTGTCCTGATCTCATCTCCCAGGGGGCACACCTCAGATGAACCCTCTCCTCCATACACCTGTCCCTGTAGAAGCTGCCCCTGTAGGTGTCACAAGCTCTACTAAGCTCCTGAGGTTGATGGGGTGTGGTGTGTCCTCTCATCTGATCTACATGATTCCTAAGCCACAGAGATATGTTCTCCTGCTTCCTAGCAACCCAGAAGTTGACATCTATACACAAACATCTAAATGAACTAGGAGATAAAGACTCTCTTTATAATAAAAATTTGCCTTTACCTCTTAATTTCTTGGGAAGAAATATTTTTATATTTACTTTTGAGTTTCTTCACATTAAAAAAATGTGACAACTCTTCAGTAGCAATAGCCTATCTCA